AGCTGAAGAAAATTTTGAAATTCTGTATGGTTAATACGGACAAACTGTCTGGACGAACTGAGTAAAAATGCAGGTTCGTCTGGACGAACCTGGGTGCATTGGGACGAACCATCGGGATGAACTGAACCCGAGAGTTTCGTCCAGGAACGAAATAAATTGGAATTAATTTTCGTCTGTACGATCCGTGTCCAGAGGAGTTCGTCCCGGGACAATCTGGGCATCGTTCTGGACGATCCTGCTTGATAAATTGAGGATTTGAGATATTTTGAAGAGAGAGAAAAAGGTAGGAGAGAGAAAAAGAAGGAAAGAGAAAGAAGAAGCTGGGTTTTGGAGCTCGCGGTGCGCTTTTCGTCCGACGCCGCTGTTAGAAGAATTGTTCGTCTCACAGTAAGGAATCCGAATCCTATTTCTATTTTTGAAAATTTTGAGTTTTAGTATTTTTCTGCTCAGTTTTGTGTTTCCGTTACCGAAAAATGTGCATATCTTTGTATTGACGAAACTTTTACCACGTAACTTTTGGTATGTTGTAGAAATGATGATTTTGCACGATTTGAGTATTTTCTAAAAAGTTTGTACCGGATATTTTGTGTTATGTGCGATTTTTATAGAATAAAAAATTATCCGGATGTTGAAAAATATTGCTTCAGTACAAATAAAGCTTTGTAACGTTGTTTTACACAATTTCTGGTAATTTGGTGATTTTCTGAAACTGTGTATTTTGACTCTATTTGGGATTTCTGTCGCAACCGAAACGCTGTCTTGACCAAGATAAGGTGTGGGATTTTGTAGGTTGTTTAAATCTGGCGTTAGGTGACTGGAAGCACCCGAGTCCATGACCCAATCCTGATTGTTAGCGGCGTTCGGTTGAGCCAGAAGAGCAAACAGAGAGCGGGGATTCGTCGGAGTGAATCTTGGGTTATTGCTGTGCCGGCAGTTCAATGCGGTGTGACCAATTTTATTACAGATCTGGCAAATCGGTCTGATGGAATTTGAAACGGGCTGATTGCTGGACGAGGAGTTATACACGGATGGCTGAGGAGAGCCGGATTGAGGAGGTTTGTTCTTAGGAAACCTGCATTGATTCCGATTGCGTGACTGATTTCCGGAGGTCGCGTAGAGAGCCGTATTGCCGGTTATAGTGGCGGCTTCGCGAGCAAGTTCTTGATTCACCGTGATTTCTTCACTGCGGAGTAGTGAGTAAAGGTTGTCAAGAGTTATGGGAAGGGGAGACGTACGAATTTCCGCCTTGAATGGGTTGTAAGATGACGAAAGTCCGTTCAAAATGTGAAGTATAATGTCCTCGGCATCGACTTGGGAGCCGGATGCGGCAATATTGTCGACGATGGTCTTGACATTGGTGAGGTATTGTTGCATAGTGTTGTTTTGCATTTGGATGTGGTGAAGCTCGTTCTTGAGCTGCAGTACCCACGATCGGCATGTAGGCTGGAGTAGTTTTTCAAGAATTTGCCAAACCTCAGTTGCAGTGGTGGCGGTGATGACATAAGGAAGGATTGCAGGAGAGATCGTCGAGAAGAGTGCGGAGAGAAGATTGTTGTCGACGAGATGCCAGCGTTGAAGAGCTTGGGGGTTAGCGTCGGCGGGGCAAGAAGAGAGACCGGTGAGATGGCCGGAGTACCCATTTGCAGTGAATTGCTGGAGAATTTGGATACGCCAAATGGCATAGTTATCGGTGGTGAGAGCGTGAGGAACCAAGTTCTTGATGTTGGAGATTAGGAATTTCAGCGGTGCCGGAATCTGGAGTTCGGCGGAGCTATCGTCGGAGATGGTGAACGGGGCGGTAATATGGGAATTCATGGAATCTTGATTTGCCATCGTTTGGCTCATGATACCATGATAGAAGAGAAGGACGCGGAACAGAGAAGCAAGAAATGGTAGAAAATAGAAAATGTATATTATTATGAGAACTAATATAGTGGCTATAAATAGACATAAATGGTAGTATTGTAATTACAGGTTTTAACTAGGGGTGTCAATTTCGGGTCACGGGTCGGGTTCGGGTCAAACCCAGAACTGACCTGGGTTCAAACGGGTCGACCCTAACCCGACCCGGGTAGAAAAACGGGTCGGAAATCCGAACCCGGACCCGACCCGGCGGGTTGCAGGTCCGACCCGGAATTTGGGGTTTTGCCTGCGGACAGCGGGCAGACAGCGTGCGACGGCGGGCGGAAGCCGAGGGCGGGGCGTGATGGCGCTGCTGCGGGATGGCGGCGGAACTCGGAAGCAGCGGGCAGCACGTGGCGGGTGGGCCGCATGCGGGGGGCGGCGCTTGGCCGCGTGGCGCTTGCCACTTGGCGCGTGACCGCATGCCAGCGGCAGCGGGCTGGCGCTTGGCGCGTTGGGCCTGTTGGGCCAGCGGCACGGGCTGGCCGGCTGGGCAGAAGTGCGCCAGGGTTGTGGCAGGGGGCGGCGGGTGCAGCGGGCGGGAAATCTGAGATTTTTTAAATTAAACCGGTTCCGGGTCGACCCCGGCAACCCGCCGGGTCAACCCGAATCCGACCCGTTTTACAAACGGGTCAAAAACTCTAACCCGAACCCGAAAATTTTTGGGTCGGGTTGACTCAAACCCGAAATTTTCGGGTCGGGTTCGGGTCGGGTTTTCAGGTCGGGTCAAATGTTGACAGCTCTAGTTTTAACATAAGCAGCTTCTCTTACAAACAGTAAGAAAATTATCTCAAACAAAACCATAATATTTTGCTTACTATTAATTATTTTGAATTTTGTGGTTCTCATGTTTTTTATTAAAAATAATATGTTTGATTTTATTAGCTAATTATTTGGAGACATTGTCCAAAATTTAATTTTTTCCTACAAGAAAGCTGCTTTAAGAAGAAGTAAGAAAAGCCGTCTCAAACGAAACCTCAATATGAGAAATCTTGGTTCTATTGATAACTTCTAAGGAATAAGTGTTGTCCACTTCAACTAGATTATATCTCACTCCATCCAAGTATTCCAAGGAGTTGCTCAAAAGGTAGGAATGCATATGTGCAAATCAGTAGCCACTCTAACTAAAACAAAACCTATAGCTATTTCCAACTCTAATGAATTCTTTGATTAGCCAGGACTTTATAGGACCTTGGTGGGCTCTCTATAATACTTAAATATTACTCACCATCAATAAGCTTTGTCAGCATATGCATGAACCATTCAATATCCATTTCTCCAATCTCAAATAATAGTTATGTTACATCTAAAGTACACTCAAATTTATTATAGTTCTCGCTCATAAGGATCTCTCTCTTCGCTATGATTCTGATGTTGATTGATTCAGTGATTCTATTAATCAAAAATCTACTGCCGGTTATTAATCTTTTAATGGATTTGACTTTTTTATGCCCTTATAAAATATATCAAGATTGATTAATCTCTCATCTCATCGTTTAACAAA